TCTTTTTCAGATCTTAATGATTCATTTTGAAAGACTTTTAGAACTTTTAGGGCAACGTAACTTGATCCGTAATTATCTTCCGACCAGTTTTCCGAAAAAAATGATGATATCAAATATAAGCGATAGTATAGGTTACGAGTAACATTGTTATGGTGATCTGAAAAGAATATTGCGCTTATCAACTCATAGTTCTTTTCAAAGCCAAAACGTGGTTTTTAGCAATAGAATTATTTTATAAATTGGTTATATTGCCTTAAATGTTTTACAAATAATTAAAATGAATTTGAAGTGATAACGAAAGACAAATGATAAGTGAGAGCAGACCAGAAATTCTTGCCAGACAGAATCCAGCTCTGCGATCATATGATCTCTAGCTCCTGTAATCACTCGCAGCATAGAAGAACAGCAATAAAACAGCTGGCGACTGCATTCTGGGCTCACACTGTGCACTCTGCGTTCTACCTACACTAGGTCGACTTCAAATTACAGTTTTCAAATTAAAAAAAGTCAAAAAAGGCTACTTACGCCATTTAGTGCAAAAGCGGCTCGAGTAAGGTCAGTCAAAAAGGTGTATATTCTTACGTAACGTCTTCCATGTCCAGAAGTGATGATAATCGAAAGCGGTTCAGGTGGCGTTATGAGTATCCGCTTAGTACCCGTTTCTGAAAACAGGCAAAGCGTCTACATTGCAAGGAAATCTTCCATCTTTGAAAAAGGCAAGGAGGATAGCCGCATTCCACTAACCTATGGCAATGTCGACCGCTGAGATATGGCGACTATCGAAACGTCGAGCTTCTAATTCAGCTCGCAACCGATGCACAAGCAAGCTTTTTGACTGCCTGGAAAAGGAAACAGTGAGTACAAAGTCTTTGGGAAGAACTCCAAAACCACCCTTTTTCAAAAATTTGAATAGTTCGATAGTTCAACTTAAGTTCAGCAAAAATAGCTTTAGGTTTCAGCAAATTCAGCATGCTTCGCTTACATGCGATTTCATCGCAGATGTATTTCACTATTATATTACTGTACTACTACACTACTATATTTGTATTGAAGATGCATATAAAAGCTCATTTCAAAACATGATTCTCCAATGTACTTCACTTTTGACCTTGCATTGCTAACCAACATTCACTCTAAAGAAATACTGGCGTGGTGATATTGAAAAATTCTTGATCTTTGGTTATCTAAAAGCAAATTAAACCACCTATAGTAAAGC